TCTCAGCGTGTCTCCCCGAGCTCCTCTCTGCTCTCAGCGTTTCTCTCCGAGCTCCACTCTGCTCTCAGCGTTTCTCTCCGAGCTCCACTCTGCTCTCAGCGTTTCTCTCGGAGCTCCACTCTGCTCTCAGCGTTTCTCTCGGAGCTCCATTCGGCTCTCAGCGTTTCTCCTCGAGCTCCACTCTGCTCTCAGCGTTTCTCCCCGAGCTCCACTCTGCTCTCAGCGTTTCTCTCCGAGCTCCACTCTGCTCTCAGCGTTTCTCTCCGATCAGAGCTAGATAAGATTTTAACAACTCTGAGCTATTAGTTAACTTCTCCCCAAACGAGCTTGATGGGCCGAATGGCCTCCTCTCGTTTGTAAATTTCTTATGTTCTTATGTTCTTATGAGCTCCACTCGGCTCTCAGCGTTTCTCTCCGAGTTCCACTCGGCTCTCAGTGTTTCTCTCTGTTCCATTTCATCCACAGATGATTACGACTATGGAACTGCATTTCCTGGTAAGACCCCGTAAGACATGAGTGTGTGTGTGTGTGTGTGTGTGAGAGAGAGAGAGAGAGAGTGTGTGTAGCATTCCAATGGCAGAAAAGGGAATTGTGTGACTGTGTAGGAAAGGATTCCAAAACCAAAAACTGTGACCATATCCCAAAGATCTAAATATTATGGTTCTGTGGTAGTTTTATTTAGTTCATTGTGGTAGGAACATAGAAGCACATTCTGCCTCATTCTGTATTTAAGACCTGATGACCCTGATGACCCTGATGACCTTGACATCACACACACACTCCTGACACTGTGGTTATAGTTACCTAATACTTTTATCCAAAAGTGACTTAGCATGGAGCCTGGCTCATGACATAATGATAAATATATATATATATCGTTGCCAGGTTTTAATATATAGTGGGAACGATGACAGTAACAGTTATATATTTTATTCCCATGGTATCTTAATATGTGCCCACGTTTTACTAATTTATTTCCTCATTTTAATTAAATCATGGCCAATTTTTTTTTTCTTTCTTTCTTTCTGACCGTCCGTCTGTCTGCCTCTCTCTCTCTGTCTGTCTGTCTCTCTCTCTCTCTGTCTCCTTCCCTCCCTCCCACAAACACTGTGCTCCGCCCCATGTGCCTCCCCCCCCAACCCCCTTTTTCCTCAGTGGATCCCAACGGTTCCCCCAGGCAGGTGCTGCCATCCCCTCAGCAGCAGCAACAGCAGGTCCTGCAGCAGATTTCAGGGCCCAGCCAGTCTGGTGAGCCGCCTTTACCGTAAACTACTCTGTATGTGTGCACTGAGGAAGTGAGGAGAAGCTGAGGGTAGATGCTGAATTTAAAAAGATAATCAAAAAAACAATAATTTTACATGACTGGCCTCAAAATTACCATGAATTTTACTTCGCAGGCTTGCAAATAATTAAATATTTTTGTGTTTATTTTTAAAAAGTACATTAAACCATACCTGTATAGTATTTCCTTACAGGAGGAAATACCAATTTTTGGGATGGTATCTGGTTTTAATTATAAAGAGCAACTTTAGGTGCAGTTTGTAAGGCACTTAACTTAGGGCACAGTTGTATATGTGTTCAGATGAGTCTGTAACCAAGATTCACTCGAATCTCTCTGTGATTAACCTGCTACTGAGGATGTACCAGTAACTTACCGTACCACCTTTCAGTTGGTGCTCAATGTAAAAATGTCACCAGATTCTCACGTTTCTGTGGGTCGTGTTGGGAGATACCGGGTTTGGAGAGAACGGCTGACCGTGTTGCTTTATAAATGCACATCAGTGTCACAGGCCCAAGCACAAAGTACGTCAGCTCTTCTTAACACAGTGCTCCACGAAGCAGTTCAGTTCCTTAATTAATGAACCCCCCCCCCCCCTCCTTATGTTGCAGAAGATGCTCAGACGGAGCCCACAGAGCCAGGTCCGCTGGGTAAGGTTTCCACACGGCTGCTCCACACCCCTCCGCCCTCCGAGCAAACGCTCCTCTAACGGCCTGTGTCTCCTCGCAGACTGCAGGGAGGAGCAGTACCCGTGCACGAGGCTGTACTCTGTGCACAAGCCGTGCAGGCAGTGCCTCAACAGCCTGTGCTTCTACAGGTACCCCCCCCCCCCCGGCACATCTACATGGTAGGTCCCGGGAATCCCCTAACTCTCTCTCACCTCCCTGTACCTCCAGCCTACGCAGGGTCTATGTGGTGAACAAGGAGGTGTGCGTGCGGACAGTGTGTGCCCACGAGGAGCTTCTCAGAGGTAGGCACCCCCCCTGCCCCGAGTCCTACGGCTCTCGTAACCACGGGTGACGTTTTATGACCTCTCGTGACCTCCCCCCCGCCGTAGCGGATCTCTGCCGTGACCAGTTCCCACGGTGCGGCGTAGCGGCGTTGACTGGCCAGTGTGGGGCACTGGGAAGCAGCTGTGGGAAGAGCTGTGGCGGCTGTTAGGGGGGGCGGGGGCAGACGGATACAGAGGCTGGATCTCTCCTGCCCTGGGAACCAGCCTTCCTCTCCTCTCCAGTCCTCCATCTGGGACCAAAGACTCACCAGACTGCTTGTCTTTCATCAGAACCCCTTTTCGTAACTCCCCCCTAATATTCACCCCCCACCCCTTTATACATATGTAAAAAATATATACTTTTATATCCTAAAAACTGTTTGATGTCACTGGTGCTAAAAACCAATGGTACAATCGTTCGATGCACATAAGTAGATGATACCCTTTGTACACAGTACTCTGTGGGATAGCTGTTTTATGTTGTACTGTACATTTTATTCTTTATTGGTGCTTTTTGTGCGTCTCTCATTACTATGTTCATGAAACCAGTACAGAGCGTCGACGGTTAACGCGCTGGGAAGGATGGTGTGCTCACAGCTGTCAGAATGGTGCTGCCTTATCAAACATTCATAATTATTATTAATGCACAGAACCAAAGCAGCTAATAATATAAAAAAAAATAAAAAATAGACTGGCAGGCTGTTTCATCTCCCCCGGCGACGGCGTCTTCGCTCATTAAAGTAAATATCACACAGTGAGTCGTTTCTTTTTTATTTTAAAGACACACATCGGCGGCCATAGAGGCTTGGGGACCCTGGCTGTTACTGTACTACTGCTATGTCAAAACCTTTTTTAAGAAATACAAGAAAAAAAACTTTTCTTAATGTGTGTGTGCTGCTTTTTTTTGGGGGGGTGGGGAGCAGAAACCATGAGAAACTTACAAAATATTCTATCAGACTGTAAAATCTCTTTATTAACCTAAAGGGGGGGGGGGAGAGGGATGCAAGCTGGTAAGGTATCTGAAACCAGTAGGAAGAGGCTCCACGTTCCATACAGTCCTGGTTGCGTTACTAACACGAAGTGACACTTACTGACGGACTCGGACACATAGTGTGACGGAACCGGGTCGATTCATCTCGGCTGTCCAGCATCTCCCATCTCTATGATAACGAGCCCATCCCCCCCCAACCCCATCCTGGCCAAAGCTGCCACAACGATGCGATTCATGGGTTCTCGTTATCAAACAGTTTGTCATGGCAAAGGAACAGTGGTCACACTAAAATATTAATGTCTACGCTGGTCCTAGAGTGTGACCTACAAGCCGTACGGCTCCTGTTAAAGACGGGTAACCTAACAATACTAATCACAGGGCTGTACACTGTCGAGACAGCAGGTTCACATACTTCAGTCTAGACCAACATCCCTGCGGACACCGACGCAGCACTAAAGCCAAGTCCGGCCTCATAGCCACCCTGTTTTTTTTGGTTTCTTCTGCCGCTTTCCGATTGGTGGTGCACCAGTGCCAGGTTCCACTAGGGGGCACTAGAGGATGGCACTCAATTCCCACTGGAGATTAGGGAGGGGGGCAGAGGGGGTTGCCGGCGCTTTATCTCCTGCTGGAGTTGCTCCTTTAGCGTGGAAACCTGAGGCAGCAGTGACAACGGGAGCAGAAGCATCAGACTAACAGGCAGGCAGACTGGCGAACATGCAAACTAGTTAGCAGTGGGACTCACGCTACCTGCTCCTCCAGCCCCTTCACGCGGTGCCGGTGTGCTCTCTCCCTGGCAGCCAGGGTGCGCTCCGCCTCCCTCTGGGCGGCCTTCAGCCTCTCTGCCTCCTTCTGGGCCTCGTCTCTCTGCCGGGCCGAGCTCTCGCTGGCACTGTGGGACTGCTCCATCTCTGCCAGCTGGGCCTGGGGCGCGGTCAGAGGAGGGGGCGGCTGAGTGAGCAGAGGGTGGGTGGGTGGGAGGGGGGGGGATTCAGATGCTCCCGGGGGGGCAACACGATTGAGGAGGCATCCGGCTGCCAGGAAAGTAACTGTTTCGCATCACATCACTGGAAACAACATCGTCACTGCTAGCAAATATTATTATTAGGTTCTTTGTCTTAACATCTCCCATTATCCGACATTTTCGCTTATCCGACGTTCTGCCGGCCCGTTTATGTCAGATAAGAGAGACTCCACTGTAATACAACTTGATTAAAAACAAATACAGGCAGTTTGGTCACCCTGGAATGCCCCAATATCTTTTCTTCTTCACCTGCTTTTAATGTTCGGCAGATTCTGCATACGGAATTGATTTACGCCACGTAGTATAAGTTACGGGAAAGTGAGACCCGACAGGAGGCACGTAAATATCAGCTGTGAACAGGGCCTGTGATGCGTTTATGCTTTGAGAAAAAAACTTCAATCTGATGAATAACCACTAAAAATCAATCTATTTTGTATTTATGTGAACTGCATTCATTTTGATGGAAAATAAATGTCTATTTGATTAGTAGAGCATAATGCACATCTCACACTGAAACCACGTTAGCACCACTCACAAAATATCCAGAAATATTATTCTTGTTGACAAAGTTGAACTTTGAGTCAGTTCGAAGGGCTCATGGTAAATGCACAGGTACATATTTGAAAGAGTACACACTTCTCGTTTAAACGTTACATCGAAATTGCGCAACACAGCCCGAACAATCGCCAGTCGGGTCGTGTAACAAGTGTGATACTGTGGGGTTGCTGGTGGTTCAAACCTAAAAGCAAACTACTGCCCCTCAGCACCAAGCTTCCGTTAACCAGAAGCCCTCCTGATGCGCCAATAAACCAAAGATGAACACCAACTGCAGACTCCTAAACGATGGTGTCTGAAGCCCAAGGTGGCAGTGCTCTTAAGTGTTCGCGGTGTGAACAGGACTCCTGGCAGTTACCCAGAATCCCACCTACGGAATCCTCACCAGGTCCCCAGTATGTCCCCTATCTCTATTGCGCCCCCTAGTGCCTCTGCTCTGTCTTCACCTGTCTGCGATGTTCTGCAGTGTCTTCGCTGAGCTCCAGGTTTCTGTCCCTGTCCCCATGGTGTCCCCCAGCGTCTGTCACCCCCACCATGTCCTCACCTGCAGCATGGCGATCTGCCTCTGGGTCTCCTGCAGCTCCTGCTCAGCTGTGTTCAGGGAGCGATCCAGGCGGCCTTTCTCAGCTGAAAGCCGCATGCCGTCTTCCTCGGTCTTCAGCTTCTGCCGCTCCACCTAGGGGTTCCGCGGCAGGGGGTGCATCCATCTATGTTACACCGCTCACCCCTCAACATGTCCCCCACCCCCCCAAGGTACACAGCAGTGTAGGGGTCCAGCTGCTCTGTCACCCCTGTGGACCCCCCCCCCCACCCCCCGCCCACCTTGTCCAGGGTGCTCCTCAGCGCGTTCTTGTCCTTCTCCAGCCGCACGGCCTGCCTCTCCGCATCCCGCTTCTCCGTCTCCAGCTGAGCCACCGCCCTCTGCAGCCCGCGCAGACGCTCCTCCATGGCGGCCCGCTCCGCCTGCGCCGCCTGCACCGTGCGCTGCGCCTCCACCAGGCTGGCCGCCCGCTGCCTCAAGGCCTGATGGGAAAAGCGCAGGAGGAACGTCAGTGGAGGGAGCGTTAATTGAGCAGGATGCTGGGTGATGGACCTCCTCACCTCCTGCGTGTGGTTGAGCTCGGCCTCCAGCTCCTCCCTGCGCAGCTCACTCTGGGACAGGTCGGCCTGCAGGCCCTGCACGTGCTCAGTAAGGCCCGCGATGTTGCGCTTCCCCTCCGAGAGGGACCCGCGGGTGGCCTCCACGCGCTCCTGGGGGGGGGGCGGTATGCTCCAAAAGTAATTCCCGCAAAGATGCTCAGGCATCACAAGTCCCTCAGAGTTTGTGACACTTTCACAAACCTGCAGCAGCCGGCGGTCCTGCTCGGAGGTACTCAGCGTCTTCTGCAGCGCAGTCAGGCGCCCCTGGGTGGCACTGTGGGCGGCGGTGGCCTCCTGTAGGCACTGTGTCAGGCTTTGCGCCTTCTCCCTCAGTGCTGACTCCGCCTCCTGGGCCTTGGCCAGGGCCTGGCTCAGCCTCTCTACCTCCCTCTGCAGGCCGGCCACGCGCCCATCCCCCTCAGTCACCTGCGCACACACACACACACGCGCACAGTGGTGCCCGGTCACACCCAGAGCGGCCGTGGCGGGAGACAAGGCCCCGGGCCCCTGAGACGCACCTGCTTCAGCAGGCCTTCAACACGCTCCTGAGATGCCTGACTCTCCACCTCCCGCTCTACCAGGCTCAGCTTCAGCCGCTGCAGCTCCCCCTCCTGGCTCCGCCTCATCAGCTCCAGTTTGGTGCCCCGCGCCTCCGCCGCCTCCAGCGCCTCCCGCAGCTTCTTCCGCTCCGCCTCCAGCCGCGCCTCCCCCGCCTTCAGCCGGCTGAGCTGTTCCTGGGGGAGGAGGCTATGATCACCATTGGGCAGGTTGGCTGCTCCAAACTGACGTCCGACCAATGACTGGCTGTTATGGGCTGAGGGGGCGGGACTAAAATACTGATAAGAAGTAGGTGTTTGACACACAGACACAAGCAAAGGTGGCATCTGTCTAGGGCCCTGAGCTGGGGGGGGGAGCATTTGGTTTCCCCTGGTTGTTACAGCAGTATTTAGGTAGTGTGCCAACAATTAGTTTAGCCTGGGGGCAGGGCACCCCCTTAAATTCAGCCCTGGGGGCCATCAGTGATGGGACTAATTGGCCAATTCATTATGGAAAAAAAACGGTTGTAGGAAGCTGCATGTTATAACCATACAGCCAGCGATGGCTGACTGCAGATCAGGGAAACTCTGAATGGTCAGCATTCGCCCACCTCCCCCCAGGCCCTGCGTCTCTCTCGCACAGACATGTCCTTCCTCCTTTATCCCCCCCCCTCAGAGCCATCACTGAATGGACTCTTTATATGTTCTGCAAAAGTCAGAGAGTGATGACAGTAAGATCGTTCTCTGGCAGATGGGCCCTAACTCAGGGGTGTCTCAGGATGGCCGAGCATTTCAAAACAATGGTTTTGTTTTGCGGGGTGGGGGGGCTTGGCATTCCTTTTCTCCCCCTCTCTCTCTGCTCCCCCCAGCATATGGCTGTCTTGGCAGTGACCACCTAGTACAGTGTTGGCTTCAGCCAGCAGATAATCAGCCAGGAAAAGAGCAGGGTGGGAAAAGCAGGGGCCAGGATGCGTGTGTGTGTGTGTGTGCGTGTGTGTGTGTGTGTGTGTGTGTGTTTGCATAGATCACATTTGAGGACCAAATTGTCCCCAAAGTGTAGTAAAACCTTAAATTTCCCTACTTTTGGGGACATCTTTTGAGGTCCCCATTTGGATAACCTCAGTTTTATAAAAATCTGTGGATGCAATCAAAAAAGTAAAAATGCCAAAAGTCTTGTATTTGGGATGGTTACTTATGGTTAAGGTTAGGGCTGGGTAGGGGTTAAGGGTGTCGTGATTGGGATTAGGGTTTTTCCCATAGAAATTAATGGACGGTCCCCATTTAGATAGGAAGAGCAACTTATGTATGGGGTACCTACGCATGTCTGTAAGAGTTTAGTACTCGCACGTGTCTGTGAGTATATGATACCTGCATTGTTTGTGAGTGTGTGGTACCCACATGTCTGTGAGTGTGCAGTACCTGCGTATCTGTGAGTGTGCAGTACCCGTGAACTGTGAGTGTGTGGTACCCAGACATGTCTGTGAGTATGTGGTACCTGGATTGTCGGTGAGTGTGCAGTACCAATGATGTCTGTGAGTGTGCGGTACCCATGCATGTCTGTGAGTATGTGGTACCTGCATTGTCTGTGAGTGTGCAGTACCATTGATGTCTGTGAGTGTGCGGTACCCATGCATGTCTGTG